GGAAGAGGTGAAGAATGCGACCTCAGGCTTATCGTTCATGCGGAGCCTGCTCCCGCAGGTCACCCCCAGATACTTCGCTTCGGAGTGGAGTTTTGCGCAGGTTCGAGGCCTGGAAGCACGTACTGTTGTGGCCTTTGGTGTACGAGATCATACATTGATTTGCGTGGGCGCGGACGGCACCTACTTGGTCTCAAACTTTGCATCAGGAGGGGAGGCGGAGCGCGTGTCTTACAAAAAGCTTGTCAGGTCGGCGGAGGAGGAGGACGAGGATCACTTTGCCACGGCCCCGAGCGCTGGATCCCTGCATCCCACCCCGACGCACGTCACCCAGCCATCAATCCCTCCACCTGCACAATCCCAAGCGACCCTCCCTTCCAGAGATCGCAATGGGAGACGTGGTGGGGATGCCGACTCCCTTCAAGCTGTGTGATAGGACTTTGACCAGCCTTGTCTTGATTGGTATGCAAAATTGACTACGTGGAAGGTATAGCCGGCGTGTTGCCTATGTGTAAATTAACCTTGAAAAAGAAGAAATGTTTCACTTCTAATAACCGCACGCCTCAGTGCCTCGTTGGAGGACGCGTGTCAATAGCGAACATCATACGTTGCTGCTGGACCCAGAACCTGATACAGGTATGGCCACTCACAACGGCAAATGATGGATACAAGCCAGACAAGAGCTCTAAGCACCAATCATTACCGGCGAGAAGACAAGGCAAATGACTGAAAATATGCAGGCTGGGGCGGGGGGCGGGCAGCTCGAAAAGCTGGCACGGTCTATGCTCACCGACCACCTTTCTCTACGTCGCTGTTCCCAGCGCAAGCGCTCACACACTGATCTCCTTATACCTCGCACACAGATTACACGGCCTGAGTTTTACGTTACTCGGAAAAATGAGCGACAAATTGACCCCGGATATGGTGGGGAAAATGAAGGTAGGTGGCCTCGGGGAGTTATGATATGCCTGGATACCATCATCCTCGGGGCTGAGAGCGGGAGCACCGGGAGTTGTCTCACATATCCCATACGATAATGCAATAACGAACAACAGGTTGCTGAATTGAAGGCACAACTAACAAATCTTGGCTTAGATACCAGTGGCTTGAAAGCGGCTCTCGCAGCCCGCCTCCTCGAGCACATCACAAAAGCAGATGATGACGGCGAAGAGAAGGAGAAGAAAGCGGAGGAGGTGAAGGAGGAGAAGGAGGAGGAGGAGAGGAAGGAGGATGAGGCAGCGACACCACCACCAGAGCCTCCCACGCAGACGGAAGAGGAATCTCATCCAGGTGAAAAGCGTAAAGAGCCTGAGACAGTTCCAGCGGAGCCCAGCGCTGAAGGCGGTGCTGAAGCCGGGGAGGACACGGAGACTCACAAGAAAGCACGCGTGGAGGAGACAAACGGCACAGAGATGAAAACAGAGGAGGTCTCGGCGTCGGAACCAGCAGCGGCACCTGTCTCCACGAGTCGTTGGGGGGCGGACAACCCGGTGGCCGCCGCAGCCACCGACCTCCAGCAAGGAGGATCCGCAGGATTTGTGTTGGACAGTAAACCCGTGGCGGCGACACCGGCCCCCGTAAAGAAGGCGAAAGGCGCGGAGATCTACGTGGGGAACCTGGATCCTTACACAACGGAGGAAGATTTGCGGGCGCTCTTCTCGCAGTTGGGGGAGGTAACTGAAATCCGGCTGAAGATGCGTCAGCAGCAGGGCGGCCGAAATTTTTCATTTGTCCGGTTTTCCGACAAGGAGGCAGCGGCCCGGGCGGTGGCAGAGTTGGACCGACGACTGGAACTTCACGGACGCGTGCTAACCATCTCGTACACAGCCGTGAACGACAAACTCCGTTTCTCGAACGTGCCCACGCACTGGCGGGCCGATCAGATCGAGGAGGCTTTGGTGGCCCAAGGCTGCGACGGTGTGTACGAGATAGAAATGCCGCTGGCGGGGGACGGGATCAGCAACCAGGGCTTCTGCGTGATCGAATTCGACAATCACCCGGCGGCCCAGCGCGCCTACCGCCTGACCACCACGGCTGCGAACGGCGTGACCATGGACGGGAGGCGACTGACGGTGGAGTGGCCCGATGGCGTGGATCGGTCCACACAACAGCAGCAAATGCAGCGTGCGGGCTTGAGCAACCAGCTCGACGACGCCATGCAGGTGAAGAACCTGTACGTAGGGGGGGTGCCCGTGGACGTGACGGAGCAAGAAATGCGCGCGGTCTTCTCGGTGTACGGCGAGATCGACAACGTGCGGCTTGCAGGCCAAGCTCCCAACGCCCGTCGGCCTGATTTTGCTTTCATCAATTACCGGGACCGGGACTCCGCGATCCGCGCGCTAGAAGCGCTGCGTGTGGAACCCAAAGCGCAAATTCGGGGACACGCTTTGGAGGTGGAAATGGCGCGCCCTCCCAAGAATTCGATGATGCAGCAACAGCGGAGCATGTATGGACAGGCTGCCGTTTACGCTCAGGGGTTGCAACAAGCGCAATATGCCCAAGGGACCGGGTACACGGCGGGGGGAAGCTACTACCAACAGACACAAGGTGGGGGATGGCAGCAGCAGCCGACGGAGGCGGCGTACGGGATTTATGCGCAACAGCTGGCGGCTCAACAAGGATGGACTGGACAACAAGGGTACAGTACCACGGGCGTGCAGCAGCCTTTCGCCGCTTTTGGGCAACAGCAGCAGCAGCAGTGGACGGGGACGGGTCAGCAACAGACGTGGAACCAAACAGGTACAGGCCAGCAAAGCTACGGTCGATTTTAATGAGACGGAGGAAAGGTCATTGGAGCCCTGATCCTGCTTTCAAGCGGCTAGATCGCTCTACACCCAACAACCCAGACGACACCACAATCGCAAAGAGGTGGACGCAGGCCGCTGGCAGACTTGGAAGGCCTTGCGTCGACGCATATTCCAATGAACGTCAGAAGGACTTACCCACATTGAAGAAATAGGCTTACAAATAAACCAACCCCTCAAGGCCTTTGGAGATAGGGTTTGCCATGTTGTAACGCAAATCGAAATGCAAAGAAAGGCGAGGGCAGCGATGGATCCCGAAGAACAGTGGGACTGCGCTTGGACTTGACCCACGTGTCATAATTTGCAAATGTTTCTTTGTTGACTGTAAATGTTTGTGCCGCTCCTGTTGATTGCTCTGCCTCCCTTGGCCTTGGGTATCTGGGTGCTTTATCTCCAGGCCCAGCCCCACTCCTCGCCCACCTCGCTTGATCGGCGGGCAAAATTTCTGATGCTAAATGAAACACATGCCCTTCGCTTTGCCCTTCCTCCCCAGTCCTCCGCTACTACTCGTCCCGCACGACAACCATGCCGGAGCAGATTAAAAGGAAAATGTAGACATTTCCTGGATGGCAATATTGATGTGCGACCAAATCGCCCTGTTTCTGGTCAGAATTTTGTCTACCGGAATCGGTGGTTCCCTTTGTCATTGCTCCTCTCTATCAAAAGACTGGAAAAAAAAAGCTCAGCCCTGCGTCACCTCCCGTGTCGACTCATCCCCATTCCACATTCCACCTCCTTCCTGCTTAAATGTCCACCCTTCCTCTTCGACTTTCCTCCCCTGTTTCATTATTCCTCCGCGATCGTTTGATAAACTACGTCATAAAGCCACCAAAGTCATCAAACACACCTGCATCTCGCCACGGAACTCCAGGCAAGAGCACGACAGCCACCACCGCCCAGAGCAACAAGAGCAAGTTTCGTCGATTGTTATCTACTGGGCTGATCTCATCCCGCGCATACATTTCCTGCGCATTCTGGAAAATGATGACCACCGTTCCCCAGAAGAGTTGCAGCGTGTTCCCAAGCACGACCCCCGACACCACCTGGTACAACACCAAGGACGCGCTCAAAAATGTGGCCGCCTTGCGTCCAAAAACCGAGGTACTCGCCCTTCCTCCGTCCAAACGCCCGATAGGCATCGCCTGTAAGGCCTGAGTGAGGAGACCCAGCGCGCCAATGACGGCCAAAGGGTGGACGTGGATCTGGGACACAAGGGGCAAGTTCACCACGTCGGCACTGAAGAGAGCCTGGCCGACCTGCCACAACATGAGCGAGGAGCGAAAGAGCGCGACGGGAAGCATGGGCCACTGGGCGCTTATCTCCGGGGCTGCACCTTGGGTCATTGCCATCCCCGCGGCGAAGGCCGCGAAAGAGAGTGCTAGCCCCGTCAAGGGCCCCGCGAGAGCCACGTCGAACATGTCCTTGCGCCGTTTCGGGAAAGAAACAAAGCGGAGCACAGAGCCGAAGGTCCCGACCTGCAAGGAGGGGATGTAGATGGGCACGCCCAGCTTCACGTCCTTTGTCCGAGCCATCAGATTGTGCGCCAGGTCGTGCGCGAGCTGGATGCCGAGAATACCCGCGGCCACGGGCAGGGCGTCGTCCAGGCGCGCCAAGGGCGCCTCGCCCAGCTTGTTCACGATGTCCGCCGGGGAGTAGAAGGTCAAGATGGAATAGACGAGGCAGTTCAAGGCAGTGGCACCGAGAGAG